TGTTTGTGCAACTGGGTGCAACTGGGTACAACTAATATCAACTTTGGAAAACAATTATTAAAGCTTCAAGTGATGTGAATATACTAATTAAGATCTATCAACACATTTTCAACTATAAGGAAACAATTACTTATATGGTAAACATTAATTTTTTATTTTTATCCAAAATCATGTTTTCACATCAACCACCCCTTACAATATAAGGGAGACATCAACAATGTTAAGCATTTTAAGACTGAAAAACTTAAAATATTTAATATTTCATATATTACAGTATAAAAACATTATAAATGATGTTTAATGGTCTAAAGTCATTTATACAACTACAATATAATAGTTTAGAGGAAGGTTCAACTAGAAATACAATATAACTGTAAAAGTACAACTATTAAGAAATGGGTTCAACTGCTTCCTTGGGGACAACTAAGTTATAAATTTTTGGTAAAATTTACTCAAATTTCTAGTTTTCCGCCAGCGGGAACAAATTAAAAAATAGATTTTTTTTAATTAAATCAGGGTCGGACTCTTTTTCTGAAAACCCTAGTTACTTTTTATTTTTCTTCCATTTCTTCTTCTCCTTCGACTGAGAGAGAGAGAGAGAGAGAGAGAGAGAGAGAAAGAGAGGTCAAGATCTGGTCGTTTTCCGATTTCATTTAACAGGTAAAGCTCTTACTTTGATTCGTGTAGATCTGGTCGTTTTCCGATTTGCTCGATCTGGTTATTGAGCTTAATTTATTTATTCGAAATTTGGTCGATTTGCTCGATTTCAGTTCAGTTTCAATTTTACTTTCAGAAATTCGAAGAAATGGGAAGATTCAGTCCGGTGACCAGTTCCGAATCATCAGCTGAGCTGGATCCATGCCTCATAGCAGATGGTGAATATGGAATGCCCAAAAAATGTTACTGCGGTGGAGCCGTTTTTACAAAGACATCCTACACCTCAATCAATCCTGGGAGGCGATACTTCACCTGTCGCAATCGTGATGTGAGTTTAGTATCAGTTTGGATGGTTTATGATAGTTATTCAGTATGGGAAAAACAGAAGAATATTTATGATAATTCTTGGGTATTTTTGCGTAGAACGAAGGGTATCATATTCGGAAATGGTGGGATTTTGTGGTAGACGAAGAAATAGAAATCCTACATCATCAGATTACTAGTCTCAAGGAGAAAATCCAGAACAACTTCACAACTGGAAATTGCGCAGAAAAAGCTATTGCAGAGCTGAAGGAAAGACAGGTTCAGAACGAGGAGCTGATTGCAAAGCTGGAGATGCTTATTCAGACGAAGAAGAAGAAAATCAGTGTGGAGATGACATTTGGGGTAGCAGTACTTGTGCTTCTACTTAGTTTGATTATAATCTTTTTTAAGTAACTTGTGGATTGTTCTTCTTATTTTAAGACTATGATGATGTTATTTGCTTTCGGATGAAGATCCTCTAATTTTCAAACTTTGGAAGAGGTCTTCAAGTTTTAACTCAGTCGAACTATGTATTTCAGTTGTACTTCGTTAGTTATGTCAATTATTAATCCTATTACCTCATCAGTTGAACCTTGTAATTCAGTTGTATCTAGTTACTTATGTCCATTGCTAAAACTATTAAAACTCAGTTGAACCTTGAAATTTTCAGTCGAACCAAAAAGTCACGCAGTTGAACCTAATAGAACACAGTTGTACTAATATATTGCATTAAGTTTAAAACACGTCCTTAAAAACTAAGCCAATCCGCAGCTACAAGCAAAAACCATCAAGTACCAAAAGCCAATTGTCATCATAAGTACCAAAAAACTACTACACAAACACCATACAGTACCAAATGCCAATTGCCATCATCTAAGTACCAAAAACAAGTATACAAACCAGCCATATCACTTGTTTTTCTTCCCCACGCCCTTTCCGTTCTTCTTCTCCACGCCCATTCCCTTCTTCTGAACGTCACCCTTCCCCTTCTTCTGTCTGTCGCCCTTATCCTTTTTCTGTCCCTTGCTCTCTCTTTTACGTTTTTGCCCATGCTCACTTGGAGTGTAACAAGAAGGTGCTTTCTTTGTTCTCTTCTTCAGAGGTTCGACTACCTCCTCCGCATCTTCCTCCTTCTCATCTGCGTCTTCTTCTAAAAGTGTATCTTTTTAATGAACAACAAAGTAACGACAGAAAAATGACAATGCATCAATTAGAGTTAAAACATAATTTTTTACCTTCTTTGTCGTCACTATGGCTTAGAGCAGGGCTTGGAGCAGGGCTTGGAGCAGGGCTTCGAACACTTGGAGCAGGGCTTCGAACACTTTCAGGACCTTTGATTTGGTGCTCCTTCACAAAACTTTCTACACTTTTCAATCGATCATTAAAACCATCCACCTTATCCTTTACTTCTTGTATCACTTTCTCCATTCTCTCCACCGCTTCCTTCAGCCCCAACAACGATGCAACACTTTCATCTTTACTTTCATCTTTAGTTTCATCATTACTTTCATCTTTAAGTGCCTTTTTTGCATCTTCATCTACAACTCGAGCTGCCAAGTCGATATCATAGAGATCTTTCCACCATATCTTCCTCTCTTTTCTCATTAGATGGTCTCGCCACATCTCAACAATTGGATCAATGAAGCCTATACCATCATCACAATCATCGCCTATGATATGCTCCATCAAAGCTTTCTCATCAGAGTCAGGTTCCAAGATGCTTATGATATCCTAAGAATATCAACAAAAAATAATAATCAAAATCAAACTCATATTAAATACAAAATAACCATATATAAGTATTATCTCTCACCTTGGTATTTCTAATCGCCTCGTTTATGTCTTCCAGTGGATAACCTTTCATGGAAGTCTCCAAGAACTTGTGCTTGCACATCCTTGGACAGTCCTTCTACGTGGCAACCTCTACTCGAAACGTGCATTTAAGCGCAGGAATACACTCAAACGCAAAAATCTACACATACAATTGTATTAAAATCGATTTAAAACAATTACAAAACCATCACAATTAATATTTACCTCTAGAGGAAGAATGAATCCAGAAAATGTCAATGACTCTTTGTCTTTGACGATGCCTTTCTTGAATTTCTTCATCGCCCTCTTCATCTCCTCCATATAATCATCAAAAGTATAACGCCCCCATGGAAATATCTTGCACAATGTCAAATCATCAACCACTTTAAGCAAGAAAGGCTCTATGTTCCCTTTCACCTTAGATTTCGCTTTCAACACAGTGCATAAGAAAAACAGAACAGCCATCTTCTTCTTATCTAAGCCGCTCGTCAATGACTGCATTTTCTCTTCCACATCTTCGATTCTTATATTGTCCTTCCTTCCAAAAATCCTTTGCACAAACTTAAAATCGCCTTTTTTCTTATCCCTCAAGTCATCATATACCCTCGGGTAGTGGTGACAGTCCAACCCACTTAACAGAGCATGTTCCCTAATGGAATATCTGATCGGTACTCCATTAACTACAAACCAGAACTCCTTCTCTGAATCCGTACAAGCTTGATGAAGTAGCAACATCCACAAACCCATAGGCTTTCGGTTTGGCTCCTCCTCCATATGAAAAATATGCTTGAATTGAGGATGTCTTGTGAACCATGTCGATTCATTTTTCAGCTTCTTTATCATAGACACTGTCTTCACGACAGTACATCTGGATCCTATCTTACATACTCTGGTATATTGATCTGGAGTGAAGTAGAACTTCTCTGGTTGCAATGGTGGCGTTTCATCCTCTTCATCCTGCGAATTCAAACACAGGTTTAATGAACAATTTAATTCTTAGTTGAACCTAGAAAACGCAGTTGAACCTAAGAAACTTAGTCGAACCTAGGAAACGCAGTTGAACCTAGGAAACGAAGTTGAACCTATTCATACGTAGTCGAACCTATTCAGAAGTTGTTGAACTTATTAAGACGAAGTTGAACTTATTGAGACGTAGTCGAACCTATTCAGACGTAGTTCAACTTATTAAGACGTAGTCGAACCTACTGAGACGTAGTTGAACCTATTCAGACGTAGTTGAACCTATGCAAACGTAGTTGAACCTAATCACTAAATCATCCTAACATATTTTCATTCATTCTCCAATATCAATCTCAATTTCAAGGTAAGTAAAAATGCATAAGACTTGTAAATAATACCTCTTTCTCAAGACCAGCTTCTTTTTCTTGCTCTTCCTCGAGAGGAAACTCCTTTTCTTGGACTTCTTCGTGAGCAAGCTCTTGGGTAGCAGAATTTGATGGTTCTCCTTCAAACAATACCATAGCTAAATCAATGTTTATCTCTCCTGGAGTTTGTACTTATGGGGTTGGTGAAGCCGTTGCTTCTGCGTCGGTTTTAGGAGGAGGAACGTCCCCTGCGATTACTCCTTCTGTTGCTCCTTCCGTGGGAGGAAGAACTTCTGCGGTTGCTTCGACGATTTCAGGTGGAACGTCCAATGCAACTCCTTCAATTTCTGGTTCTCCTTCTGTGGTTGCTGCGACGGTTTCAGGAGGAGGAGAGTTCGGAGGAGGAACGTCTAGTGCAGCTTCTTCTGTGGTTGCTGCGATGGTTTCAGAAGGAGGAGAGTTCGGAGAAGGAACGTCTACTGCAGCTCCTTCTGTGGTTGCTGCGACGGTTTCAGGAGGAGGAGAGTCCGCTGCAGTGGTTGCTGCGACGGTTTCAGGAGGAGAAACGTCAAGTTCAGCGGTTTCTGGTTCCGTGCGGAGGAGAAGACCAATCGGAGAGGAGCAAAAGAAGAGAGGCGGAGAAGTATCAGAGAGGACCTGATGCGGAGGCTCGAAGAAGCAAGAAGAGATTCACGGTTTCTGGTTTCTGAGATTCATGGTGTCTCCGTCGAACTCCGATTTACAGTTTGTAAAAATTAAACAATTTACAACTAGGGTTGAGTTTGATGAAAAACCCTATTCTCAATTTGTAATTGTTTAAATTTTTGGAGGACAAAAATAAATTTACACTTCTTTTACATTAAAAATAAATCTAAAATAAATTAATTTTTATAACAGCGGCATACGAGATTGAAATTGGAGAAATAATGGCATCTCAGCCATTGTTCCAGCCTCTCCCCTTCGCCTCTCTGCAAGATAAAAACCCAACTTAGCGAAAAGCTTTCTCAAATCTATTTCAGCGATCGTACTTGGATCAGTGATAAGAGTTTCTTCGAAGATGGGCTCGTTATCGATGCAATCCTCGCTCTTCCAATTACCAACTCGCCCCTCGTCGTCATTTTCACCCAACCATGAACATTTACTCTCTATTTCCTCTGTTAGCTTCCCGTTGAAGATGAAGTCGAGGATTTTCAGTGGAAATTTGGCTCTGAGAGTTAAAGCTTATGATTCATCAAGTAATCAGCCTTCTGATTCCTCTACAGAGTCCACACCTCCCAAAGGCACTCGGGTAATTTTGGGACTATTTTGCCTTCTGGGTTTTCAATGAGATCGCAAATATCGTGTAGTTGAAGTTTCTTAGTTGTTTAGTAACATTCCTAACCGTAAGTTTCGTTCACTGGTTTTTACTTTTGAGCAGCCCAAAACCAGGAGGGATATTCTATTGGAGTATGTTCAGAATGTGAAGCCGGAGTTTATGGAGTTGTTTGTTAAACGTGCGCCTAAACATGTACGTTTCTGCTTCAATTTCACAGTGAGAAGAGTGTTTGGGGAGCTTTATGATTCTATGCTATCTTGTCATTGATATTAGGTGGTTGATGCAATGCGGCAAACTGTGACGAATATGATAGGGACGTTGCCGCCGCAGTTTTTCGCGGTCACGATTACCTCTGTGAGTGCTTTATGTGATGGAATTTAAGCGACACGTTTCACTATTTGTGTCCTGTGTTTGAATTGGGGTTTTTGTGCTGATTGCATTGTGGGTTTTAGGTTGCTGAAAACCTCGCACAGCTGATGATGAGTGTATTGATGACTGGATATATGTTCAGAAATGCTCAATATCGTCTTGAATTGCAACAAAGCTTGGAGCAGGTTGCTCTTCCTGAGCCACGTGATAGAAAGGTGACATTTTCAGGTCGTAAGTTTTGTTTTCTAGAGAATTTTAGTTGGCCTATTAATGGAGATGAAGAGTTAGAGGCGTCAATCTTGAGCATTGTAGTTACTCCTAGTGGTTTCTGGTGGACCGTAGCTCTGTCGACAGCTCAGAAAGTATAGTTGAGTTGGTCAGCTCAGAAACTGAGTTTTGGATTGGTTTCGGATTTTGGTTATGGCAGTGGTTGAGAGTTAGTTCTTGCGTTAATCAGGTCTCTTCTATGCTGTAGTTTTTTGGTGAATAGCATAAAGAAGTAGTTTGACACTTTATATATGTCTGTTTGATCTATGAAATTATATGTGACACTTGTTTTCTATTTTGATTAAGCCAGGAAGATGATCAAGACTATGCACCTGGAACTCAAAAGAACGTTTCAGGGGAAGTGATTAGGTGGAATAACATTTCTGGTCCTGAGAAGATTGAGGCAAAAAAGTATATTGAGCTTCTGGAAGCAGAGATCGAAGAACTCAACCGTCAAGTTGGGAGAAAATCGGCGAATGAGCAAAACGAAATTTTGGAGTATCTAAAATCTCTCGAACCCCAAAATCTTAAGGCATGAGAAAATTTTCATAATGTTATTTTAATTGTCTTCATCAAATTCTTATCCAATTTTAATTGTCTTCATGAATTTGTAGGAGCTTACAAGCACTGCAGGCGATGATGTTGCGGTGGCCATGAATACATTTGTCAAGCGGCTTCTAGCTGTATCAGACTCAGACCCAAAGCAAATGAAGGTTTTACTAATGTTAAACTTCTTTAGCTGAATCTTGTTCGCGTTTTGTGTTGTTATGTAACGTAATTGATATCAATATTTTGGTGGCTAAACAGACGAATGTGACAGAGACAAGCGCTACGGACCTTGCAAAATTGTTGTATTGGCTAATGGTTGTTGGATATAGCCTTCGCAATATAGAAGTCCGGTTTGATATGGAACGTGTGCTTGGTACTCATGCGAAGCTCGCCGAGTTGCCTCCTGGTGAAATTATTTGAAAACCGGGAGCTTTTATTTTCACGCAAAGAACTCAGATTCACATGTCGCGTGATTGTTATTGTAGAATGGATCAAACTTAATTGGAGGAGAAAGACACTATTGCTGTTGGTAAAAAAAAAGAGAGGATTTTCGCTTTGAAAAATTTCCCATTTTAAATTCACAATTCGCAGAGAATGGCTTCGGTTCTTTAAATTTGCATTAAAATGTACTGAAAGGTCTTTAAAGTTGCACAGGATGATCCATGAAAGTTTAGTTAATGACGATGGAGGAAAGTTATTAAGGGGGATTGGAAGGACATTATTATTAGAATAACTTTGAATATTTTGTTTGACTAAATTAACTTTAACAAATTAATTTACAAAAGTTATTATATATATTCCCTATATATTAATTGAGAAGTATTTTTGAATAGTAACCTCTTTTTTTGTAAGTATTTACAATTGTGCCATTATGTTGATGTGTCAATTCCATATTTATTTTCAGTTAATTGTTTTAAAAAGACTTATATTACTAGACTAATTACATGATATGTCATTATATATTTTAGGTCCATAGATATATTATGTTTTATTTTATAAATCAATATTTTAATTTATAAAGATATTCTTTTTTTAATTATTTCTTACCAAAAATATATCATATTAATTATTTCATTGATTAAATTTTTTACCAAAAATCTATTTTTCTCTTATTTTTATTTAAACTTACTTTTGTAAAGTAAATAAATTATCACATCATCCATATAATAAAAAATATATAGATTTTTTGTACAAGTATTATAATTCAAATTTTTAAAATTCAATATAAATTACTCAAATTATTAATAAATAAACATAAATCATTATAATTTGCGTTCATTATAATCATTATAAAAATTGATTGTAATTTAAGTTCATTAGTCATTATAAATAGTAGTAAATAATTATAATTCGATTTAATTTACTTTTCCCAAAAGTAAATTCTCAATTAGCTCATAATTTAGATTTTTTCTAAAATTCAGTATATAATAAATAGTATTTAATATTTAATATAATATAATTATGAGCTAATTGAGAATTTATTAATAATTTTAATAAAAATGAAATTTATTGTGTTTGATATATGTTAATAATATAATTAATTTAATTTATGGCGCATTCACTAATCTAATTTAGATGTAAGTAATATATTAATTTAAATTTATTTTGTTAATTTAGATATATATATTCAAAGATTTGGAGTAGAAACGATTATGACACTTTTGTCTAATAAGTCATCAATGTTTAAAACTTATTTAGAGTAAAAATAATATATAAGATGGATAAACATCAATACTTTTATAGACAAAAGTATCATTGTCGTTTCTGCTCGAAATCTTTTAAATATATATATATATATATATATATCTATATCTATATTAAGAAAATAAATTTGAATTAATATATTACTTACATCTAAATTAGATAAGTGAATTCGCCATAAATTAAATTACTTATATTATTAACATATATCAAACACAATAAATTTTATTTTCATTAAAATTATTAAAAACATTTTAATTAACTCATAATTAACTCATATTAAATATTAAATACTATTTATGGTATACAAAATGTTAAAAAAGTATAAATTATGAGCTAATTGAAAATTTACTTTTACAAAGACTCAATTAAATCGAGTTATAATTATTTACTTTTATTTATAATGACTATAATGAATTCAAATTACAATCAATTTTATAATGATTATTATGACCGCAAATTATAATGATTTATGTTTATTTATTAATAATTTGAGTAATTTAAATTCAATTTTTAAAATTCAAATTATAATACATGTACAAAAAAATCTATAGTTTTTTTATTATATGGATGATGTGATAATTTATTTACTTTACAAAAGTAAGTTTAAATGAAAATATGAGAAAAATAATATATAAGATGGATAAACATCAATATTTTTATAGAAGCTAATTATAGTAAATTTTATTTGTCACATTATTTTTTATATAATCAATCATAGCAAAAACGCATCAAAACTCTAACCATATGACATCTTAAATTTAATATTCTGTATTATTATGTATACACTATACTCTCAACTTACTATTTCTCATATATTCAATTATACTTTATTATTATATTTTAGATAAAAAAATTTGATTAAAGGTTTTTGGAGTCAATAATTATTCTTTTCTTTTACAAAGAGATAACTTATGGATATAATTATTGTTTTCAAATTAAAAATATAAAAATTGTGTCTTTTTTTAATTCATTCGATATAGTAGATAAGTAACAAACAATTTAAATAATAATATTTAATTATTATTTAAGAGTCAAAATTAATTAAATATATACACAAATATTATACTAAATTAAATAAATAATAATTATTTCATCTCGCACAGGGTATGGGTTATTACCTAATATATATATATATATTATAAGAAAATCAACACAACAATAACACTAAAGTCTCTCCATGGTTTGACACCTCAGCTTTTTGAAGCTTTATAAACATGACACCTCAGCAAAAATAATCACCAATCAAAATATTTTATTAATACATCTTATCTATTATTTTAATTTTTAAACTTAAACCCATTAAAAACCCAAATATTTTTTCTATTAATTTTTGTTTTATTTTTTACCAAATCCAAGCCCAAATAATTAATAACAGCAAATAAAAAATTTATTATTTTATTTTTTGCCAAATCCAAACCTAAATAATAAATAAAAAATAAAAAAAATTATTATTTTCTTTTTTTTGTAAAAAACAAATCCAAATAATAAATATCAACATATAAATAATAAAAAAAATTTAGCTATCTGTATGTTTGACATAGACATATATGATTGAAAAAGTGTAGGCTCAACATCAACAATGCTTCCATGAGAATAACGCAAAAAACCTTATGTTATAAGAAGCTCACACATCAGCAAAAATTTGAACCGATAAAAACATAACAATTTCTTAGTTTTCACGTGAAAACATAATTTCACGGAAAATACAATTTTTGGGTTTCGCGAAAAATTATAGTTTATTTGTTTTTGTAGGAAAGCGTGATTTTGGGTTTGACGAGAAAATGATTTTTTTTTGGTAGGAATAAACGATTTCTCAGTTTTAGCAGGAAAAATAAATTTTTTGATTTTGGCGAGAAAATACAATTTTTTTTTTTTTGGTTTTTGGAAGAAGATGAAATTTTTTGGTTTTTGTGAAAAAACGTAATTTCTCGGCTTTGGTGGAAAAAAACAATGCTGATGGACCAAGTTCCAGCAAAGCAATGTTTCTTTTACCATTGTTGATGGACAGTGAAGATACCATTAGGAGCCTTGAAGGACGTCCCTATGCAGATAGAAGGAGTGACTATCCCAACTGATTTCTTGGTGCTGGATGTTGAAGGACATATCAAGAATGTAATAATACTTGGAAGACCATTCTTAGCTTCAGCTGGAGCTATCTTTGATGCTAGGGAATGAACAACAGAGATGAGGCTTACTAACAGTCATGTTTGAAGTTTGACAGCAAAGGCAACAAGCTGGAGCATGATCATGTTTTCTCCATGGAGCTTAACAAGGTGAAAGGAGTTGACAAGAACTGGCCAGAGTTTGAAGGTTACCAAGGAGAGAGCTTTGATGGTTGCTGTTTGATGTTGAGGTTTTTAAGCCTTAACTCAATCCTCAAACACACATGTCATTGTAGTAGTTGATGTCTCAATCCAATCCCAAGGCTAAGGAACATATGAGATGCATAAGACTTGCTAGGCTAGGCCTAATCAAAAGAAGGGGAGTCTGATCTAACAACCTAAAACAAGAAATGCAAACTAGAAAACAGAGATTCAAGACTAATAAATAAGAAGGTGAATCTAAAAACATGATCAAGGTGAAAGAAACAATCAATGTATTAATCTCTAGGCAAGGACTACTGATATAGACTAGCCCAATCCCTCAGCACTAATCTCTTATCTAATCACATATTCAAGATAAATCCTTTTACTTAAACACATGATCATCAAGCATGAAGGTTAAAGTCCATGTAGCCAAAAAGCATGCTAGACATCTAGTTTCCTATGCTAGATTTACTAATCTCTTGTGCAATAGAACTAACATTAACTCACACTCTCATGCATAATCAATGCCTAAAGAACAATTTCCCACAAATGTGGTGTTAAGTACTTAAGTACAAGCTATGCAAGACATGACATCAACCATAACTTCTTTCAAGCATTTCAGCAAACACCTTAAGTGCAATACTAGAAAGCATAGGATCTACTTATCCTACAAAGAGGTACTAAGCATGAAGGATAGTCACACAAGAAGAGATAATCAAAGATCCAACATTCTAGCACCTTAACAATCATTAGAAACACTTTTGTTCTTCAAAAACCAAGAATCTCAAAAGCTGAAGAACACAAATTCGAAAATAATTAAGGCAATAACAAATGGAAAACAAGACTATAAGATGAAAGGCTTAAGGTTAAAAGATGAAAGACATAAATAAAAAGTATATACAATGATCCTGATACAAGACTCTAAATCACTTCAAGTAATGTTTCCTTGAAATTGTTGCTTTGAAGCTGAATGGATGGTTGAATGGTTTGATGATGGGAAAACCAGTTGTACTTGAACTCCAAGCACAAGAGTTTAGACTTTACTAACTCAAGGGCTAATCCTCACAAGAGTTAACAAATTCTACACTTCTCACAAGCTCTCTGAATCCCTCAAAAGAACTTAATAAAAAGCAGGAACAAGATTGTAAACAAAGAGATACTTTTCTTTGAAACAAAACACTTTCTTTTTGATTAATAATTTTGTGAACTGAATAATACAATGCTTGAGCTTTATTTAAGGCTCGAAAATAATGTAAAAAAACGGCCATAAACTATAAAAGTAAAGCAAAGATCAAGAAGTAATCTTCAACTAGCCGTTAAGCTTAAATGGGAGGATCCTTGTCTTTGGCGCTGAATGGGGTAACTCTTGATGGTCTTTGGCACGAAATGAATATCCTGAATCTTCTGATGATGATGAAGGGTCGAGATTGAATGGCTGATATAGTCGTTGGCCTTTGTTTCCTTGCTTTCTCCTTGAACCAATAAAGTTGGTTCCATCTTTGGTAAGTAGCTCTTCTTTGATATCTTCTCGGTTTTGTTTGGTTTGAGCTCGGCTATTGACTTGGTCTGACGGTTTAGGGGTCTTCTTAGCTTCAGTAATCTTCAAG